GGGGGGGAGGTGGGGGGGATATAACAAATATCAATAAAAAGGATATTGTTTCATTGTTTTTGTCCTTCTTTCTGTTGGAGATCTTTGGTGTGAAATGATTATCAATTTAAATGTGGCACGTGGCCCGACAATGTATGCAACAACAGCGTTATATCACCATTCCCACTGTGTTTAAAGATATAACGATTTGCAAAGGTCATTATAGTACAGTTGGTTAAGCGTAGACATGACACTTAAATAGAAGATGGATCTCAGATCTCACCACTAACATTAAATAAACGAAACATGATTTGATTAGTTGCAGTTGAATTAATTGAACAAACACTGATTGCATAATAGCCAAATATGGCTTTTGACTTTGAGACATCCTGTAAGGATGTTAGTAAGCAGAAAACTGTTACATGTTGTGTGAAATTAAATTAATTGCCTAATTATTTTGGACTTTTCCAATCACAAGTCATGACTAATATCGACTGGACTAATCTAATTGTTGCTTTCGATGATTATAAAATGTCGAACCACGGATAACTGTGAAATTCCTTGAATCATTTATCCAGATTTCAGACCTTATTATCTATTATTTTTGAACAGCTAAACCTTTTGAAATGATTGATAATACGACAGCTTTAAAGTATTTCAAAGTTAATATCATTTGTCAAGACAAATTTAGCAAAAATGCTATCTAAAACAGGTGAAGACTTTGATTTGTAATGGTTTTAGGGTAGAGAGTAATAATGAAACAACAAATCCTGTCCCAAATATCAGAAGAATCAGCCAAAATATTTACTTGATCATCGATCGGTACTCTTATTGGAAAGTTCTCAAGCCAGTGGAGTATCTCTTTATCTTTAACACGAACACATGTATGCAATCCGAAGGGTAAAGCTGGGGCTGTGACTTGTCCCTAAACTTCAAGATTGAGAATATCCAAAAATTAGCTTCAATAATATAAAAGATCACTAAAGTCCTTAAAGAACAATTGTTTATATAAAGCAAAATTGTATTGTTTTTTCTTTTATTTTTTTTTTTTTTTTGGGTTGAGGTGGGGTTGTGATAATGCAAATTCTTTATACAAAATATACATAGTAGGCAGATGGGTCTTCTCAAAATTACGTGTCATTTATTCATCTTAATTGTAATTTTAAATCTTTCTCTCGAACATATAAACGTGTTGAAATAACTCAGTAATCCAATAGTGACCAAGTAGTGTCTCCTAATCATGTAGGATCATTAACGACCTTACCAGCACCAACTTGTTAAAAAAAAATCACATTTGTTGCCATAATTAGGAAAAATTAATATCTTGCCCCCAAAGATTATGAGTAATAATGTGTTTCCCAAAATGTTTATCTATTGTTGTTTGTAAAAAATGAACGTGAATTTTTAGATGAGTGAATCATTTTAAAGATCTTGACAGAAATGGTCTAACAATCAACATTAATTTGATAAATATTCCGATAAGTATAACTATCTTCAAAGATTATAAAACACTAAAGATCTTGACAAAAATGAGAATCAATTCAAAGAACAACAAAAATAATAATCACTTGTCAAATCCACGTCGGAAAAAGCAGATGGACCCCAAAATACATGTGTACATAGATCTCATGGATGTGCCAATTCATTCAGTGAATGATTGAGAGAAAGATTCTAAACTTTATTGTTCTATTTTTTTTAAATGGTAGAAACTTTGGTAGATACGTTGCATCCATGAAGGTGTAAGAGAGGAGAAGACAGCTTGAATGGGTCAGTCCATGCTCAAAAGAAGATAGGGCAATGTGGGTACACCACCCTCTCTAAATGATAAGAACTTATAAACCTTCAAACCCACTTTTGTTTTCTCTCTCCCACTCAATCTTTCTCTTTGACTCCCTTTTGACCAATTCTTGCTTGTCTCTTGGAGCATGCATGAACAAGCAGGAGAGAGAGAGGACCAGTGGGTCCCAGAGAGCAACAAATTGGATAGACTCATATTTGCAATATCGATTTGAGGGTCACACACATATAAGGTGGTGAGGTTGGGACAGATTGCTAGTGACTAATATGGGCAAGTTCAAGGATCCAAACTGTAAAGTTCATTGTCAAGCTCTCATGGTGGTGGGGGTTGTTAGCTAGTCATGAATCCTTTCTTAGCACCACAACTATGGATAAAGTGTAATAAATGTAACTAAAAATTTGATCTAATTTACTAACAATAGTGTGTCAAGTGTGATGATATCAATAGAGAAGTTTAACTGTTGCAGTTACAATAATAATATTAGACCATGTTATTGCTCCCAACATATATATTAACAAAGTATGTCAAATTTTTGGGTACATTATAGCATTACTCCAAGATAAAAATGCAGAAATTAGATTTTGAAGGAAATGGAGTCCAAATAGTTTGTTTGATTTAAATCTTATCAATTGTTGCAGCTAGAAAAAGTAACTCTCAATAAGTGACTAGTACAAAAAAGTGCTTACAAACAAATGAACGGGTCTAATGCATAATAACCCAAAAACATAGCGAAAAAAAAAACACAAAACATATAAAATTATTAGCCACAACTCGTGCCTGAAGACACAATACAACATAAAATCCGAGTGCCCAAAAAAATCGATCCCACTCTATAAAATAACAATTTCTCTTTCTTTCCCTCTCTTTAATTTCATAATTTAAAATTGATTTCTACCCATTATTTTTAAAAAAAATTATATTTTTTTTTCAAAATAAATGACCTCAAAAAAATATTAACATATGCACAATTTCTTATATAAACAATATCTGAAATAAAAATTATATTAAACCACAAATTAATCAAAAATAAAATAACTTGTGATAAAAATGAGTGATGTGATAGAAATGAAAATAAGATTAAACTCCTAATAGGTATGGTTTGACTTAAAAATTTACGTACTTGGATAAAGCACAATAGTAAACACCCACATAAATAACCAACTATGCTGTGAATTTATAATATTTATAACACTCAAAGAACCTTGAATTTACAATATTTATAACACTCAAACAAAATTTCGAGATTTGAGAACTTTCAATATGGTGATACTTGCAAAATAAGCGTGGAGAGTCCACCACAAAACTCACACACTCTTCCGTATAGTCTTGAAGGCTAGCTATTTTCCTTCAAAATCTTTTATGAATGTGAATTAAAATTGTCTTACACTTGGCGTAGTACTTTAGAAGTTCAAAAAATTATAGAGTTGGGTTCTAGGTGGAGACTTGGTGGTGCGACCAAAATTAGCATTTGGCATGATCGTTGGATTCCGACGCCAACTACGTTCAGAGTTGTTACTCCTAGAAATATTATAGATGAAAATGCTATGGTTAGTGAGTTTATTGATCCACATAATCATTCCTAGAATGAACAGCTGATTGGTCTAGTATTCCTATCTCACGAGGTAATTAAACGTATCCCACTTGGTGCTTTAGCAATGGAAGACAAGCTGATATTGTAAACTCCCACATATTTATAATAACGTGTAGCAAGTATTTGGTGTGTATGTAATTATCTAATGATTAAAAGATGTGTAATATATGTTATATTAAAGGATAGTAAGTGTTTTGCGTCTTATTTGCATGTTTTGAGAGATTTTGGAGAGAATGAAAAGGTATACTACTTGGGTATTCTAATAATAATTTTTTACACCATATCAGATAGAACTAACTTTTGGAGAGTAAAAATTAGACATCTAGGACTACAAAGTGTATTTCACAAAGATTTTGTGAATCAACTTATAAATATGTCAAAACTGTACTGGGGGTTAAGGCAGAAAGTTGGGTCCATGT